TTTCCCTATGACATAATGCCAGGTTGTCATTAATGAAGACAGCTGAAATAGATGGTGAAGACTTGTTATTGGTTGAACCCCAAAGTTTTGTGAATTTGGTTTTTAAATTGTCAGTGATGATTAATTTTTTAAATACTTAACCTGTACTTTTATTTTTTTACTGTTAGATCATTCAGAGGATTACAGGGTTCTTTGTGCATGTCTTTTTTTTTGAGTTTTCTTTTATGTTGCTGATAGCAGCATTGATAACATAATTCAGTGTCTTTAATTCCAGAGTTTGTCAAGGTTGCTAAGAAACCAGGGAGATCTTTTTGTGTTAGGATATAGTTACTTGAACGTGTATTTTCAGCAACAAAATTGGTTCAAAATCACTTGCTGAATTTCTACTCCAACTGCTGAATGTCATTGCTTCTGCTAATGTATTTAGGTTTGTAATCTGTGAAGCCAGTTTGCTGAATGTAAATCAGCAGCAAACGTGTACCCATTTTCATTTCCTTGTGAGATGTCACAATTCACCGCATGGTTTGCTGTCCTTCAATTGGTTAAACCAATACAAGGGAGAGGTGATGACCTCTGGTTGGACAAGGGAGCCTCTCACATGACCTTTGTTCCCAAGAAAATGTTAGTGTATCTGAGATAAACTGGCTCTATTTTTGCAACTTGCTGCAACTGTTGCTGCATCCAAAATGAGACAAGTAAACTCTGTCTGGGCTACTGTGGTGTTTCATCTTTCTAGCTGAAATAACATTCTAATTGTGGTATTTCTGCTTGTTTTCTTTTTGTTTGTCACTCCAGGGAGGTATTGCCACCTGTTTGACCTCTACTGAAGTGGAGAAGAAATCTTTTGAATCTCAAAAAAGAAGTCTTGCTGTAGAAAATCAGCGCTTAAGAGAATCTCTAGAGAAGGAAGAAAAAGCTTTGGCCTCACTTCAGGAAGAATTAAGGAAGCTAAGACAACAAATTAGACACCTAGAAGATAAAGGTGCTAGCACTGAGTCTATTGTAATGGAAAATCAGAAACTAAGGGAACATTTGGAAGAGGAAAAGCAAAGAAACCACAACTTCCTTAGGCAAAAGGAAACACTCTTTGCAGAGGCACAGATGCTAAGGAGAGAACTGGACAAAGAACGTCATGTTACAGAAGCTCTAAAAAAGGAACTGGAAGAGTTAAGTTCTCGTCAAACACCTGACAATGCTAATGATGATGATACATTAAGAGAAAATCAAGATATAGAAGCTTTGCAAGAAAGACTAGTAGAGCTAGAAAGAAAGCTAAACTTTGAGCAACATCGCTCTGACTTATGGGAGAAGCTGTATGTTGAAGCAAAAGACCAAACTGAAAAACAAGAAATTGATGAAAAGGGACAAAAGAAAGGTGCTAAAGGGCAAAGTAAGACTAAAAAGAAATCAAAGGAATCATTTTTTGGTTCAGTTAAAGAAACATTTGATGCTATGAAAAATTCCACGAAAGAGTTTGTAAGACACCATAAAGAAAAGATTAAGCAGGCTAAGGAAGCAGTGAAAGAAAACCTGAAGAAATTCTCTGATTCTGTAAAGTCTACATTCAGACACTTTAAAGATAGCACAAAAAGCATCTTTGATGAAAAGGACAAGTCAAATGATAGAAGACGTGAGGCAAACAAGAAAGCTCGAAGTTTTTACCGAGAACAGAACTCTTACGAGAATCTGAAGCACATGCATTACAGGGGACCTAACATGCCAAAAGCATTCAAAGACGGAAGAAAACATCAGTTTGCAACATTTGAAAAAGATACAGATTCACAGAAACGTCTCAATGATCCTTTGTGTAATAGAAAACATCGTTTAGGCCTAAAGGGCTGCTCTGGTATTTTTGAATGTGCTCATCAAGAATTCATTAGTCTCTTTAACAGAGTTTCAGATCCTATCAGGGTGGATGAATTTAATCGGCTAATGAAAAAGTATTTGCAACAAGTTGTACATAACTTCCACCACTGGAGAGAACTAGAAAATTTCATCAACAAGTTTTTTCATAATGGGTTGTTCATACATGACCGGATGCTGTTCACTGATTTTGTTAATGATATCAAGGATTACCTGGAAGATATGAAGGAATACCAAAATAATAATGAAAAGGTTTTTGAGGATTTGGACAAATATATCTACAGATACTACTTTCATTATGATAATTCACCCCAATATGGACCCAGGTTTGTTTCCATGTTTCCTGAACTTGTTGACACAATGAAGTAGTCTTTGTAAGAACAGCTAGTGTCCTTGTTCTAACTGGTGGTTTTCTGGTGTGTGAGGGGGTGTGTATATAGACATATATATATACACACATATGCTGGAAGACTTTCTGAAGGACTTGGTGCAAATACTAAATTGTGTTAGATAAAGCGGATCTATAGTACCTTTTATATAAATTTTCTGGAGGTGGGGTGTTAGTTTGGGAGGCACCACAGAGGGACTGCACATGGCACAATCTGGTATTTCTACCGAGTTCTTTAGAAAATGGTGTAACTGCACGTAGGGTTCCTGTAGACTGAACAGCTATGATTGCCGCTCTGGTGGAGTGAGTATCTAGGAAGAAGCATTAACTAGAGCTTACTTGTCCTTCCCTAAATGAGAAGGGGTTTGGATATATTTGAGCAGGCTCAAAGTCCCTTTCTGGCAGATGTATTCCTCTGCTGGCTTTTCATGAATTTCACTGCTATATTGTAGCTTAGTATAATGCTGCATTAGTCTGTGTGCCCAGAGCAGAGCTACTCAGATGGCAGGCTTTAGTTCAGATCCTGAGCCTGACTAAATTTTGTTCAGACTTGCTTACAAAGGTCCTTGGCATAAATTGTTTCCTATATTACTTGCCTGTGTCTCATGGTATTCTCATGGCTTAAACTGAGCAGTCGTGGTATGCTGCCTGGCTGGCCCGGTGGAGCTAGATATGGTGGACTGTTTCTACTGCATAGACTTTGGTGGGGGGAAAAAAAAAGAGAAAGAAAAAATAAATAAATTAAGCAAGCAGCCCTAATATAGTGTGTAGAACTTTCTCTTTCTGGAACATTTATTTATATATAATTTATATATTTTATCTGGCTTTTAATATCATAGCTGTTACAAGTTGGCTATATAGTTTCTTGTGCTAACGTTCATTGTGATCAGGTAAGAAAAAATATGATGTGTTAGCTGATTTATAATGCACAAGAAATTGTCCTTGTAGCCATAATAGATCTTCTCCCTGTGCTGGTATTCAGTGCAAAGCATATTTGGTATATCAAGGTGCAGTTCTTCAGGGAGGTTTTTCTTTTGGACTTGTACTGGTTATTATTTTATGGGTTTTACTGCAGCAGGAAGTCTGATTACTTAACTACTTCGGAGTTACTAAATATGTGAGGTAGTACTTTCTTTTAATAGAAGTTGAACCATGAGGATGATAATCTTATTATGCATTACGAAGTAGCCTTTTTAATGTGTAGTTTTGGGAAACGTGTTACACTTTTATATTCCAAGTACTTTAATATATTACTAAAATGAACTTTACTTTTTAATGACTTTAAATCCTTTATTCTAAGCATTTTAATTCAGTTTGCAGAAAAACAATTTCAAATTCATTTACTGAAAGTATTATACAGAATTTTCTATGACACTGGGGATGAAAATAGCCTTAGCTTAGCAGAACACTTGAGATGCTAGTCATGTGATAGCAGCATGAGTATTAGGGGACTGTTCAAAAAACTGCAGGTGAGCAAGTGTTTTGCCAGGGCCCTCTCCCACTGTATAAATGTACTCACTGTACACTAAAACCTCTGAAATGCCCATGTTTACAGAAAGCAATGCTTTACTGAGGGTCTGAGAAGTTTTCATTATTTTTATAGAGCAGAATCTAATAGAATAACTGAAAAATAGATTGAGACCTCACTCAGGCATCCCAGAGGGATAATCAAGTAATTGTTTACCTGGCTTTATTCTAAAAAGAATTTTGGGCAATCAGCTGCAGAGTGTTTTTATTTTTTAGAAAGCATTTCTTTTAAATATACCATCTTAATGATGATTTAAACAAACACCTCTCCCCTCATTTTGCTTACAAGAGAAAAGACTACTTAATACTATTCTTGTTTCCTTTTCAGTCAACCTGAGCATGTTACAAGCTGTTTTTGACAATGTAATTGTGTTTCAAAATGCTTTGGAAGAGTAGTAATAAGCTTTTGTTTACTCCTTGCAGTCGACCTAAAAGGCCTTCTTTTACACAAACTGAAAGTTCCAGACATGAAAAACAAGCTCAGAAGTACCACCACCGTAATAAAAGAGAAGGTAAATGGCATAAACACGGTCGCACTAATGGAAGACACATGGCAAATCTTGAAATAGAATTGGGGCAATTACCCTTTGATCCAAAGTATTGAGTAATTTATGGTAAAAATAAGATTAGAATTTCCATCCTCTCTGGAACCTTATTGATTTTCCACAAAGCAGCAAGATCCAAGTTTTTTCTCGAAATAATTTCATTTTTACACATTTTTGTTAAAAGGCTGAAGTCAAGCTTTCTGATTTGCATATTCTGTACTGTTGCTTTAACTGTTCTTTGGAAGCGATGAGTATGGGTGCCAGCAGTATTGTTGCAACAACTAGGCATGCAATGACTTGTGTATTGAAAAATACGCTTAATTGCGTTCCCTTAGTGTAGTTCAAGCTTGAGTCATGCATAATGTACCAATAATCAACTCCAATGTTTGATACACTAACTTCATCTCATCCTTGGAAAAATAGGTCTACATTATGGTAATGAATTTGTTAGTGTTTTGTAATCTTATACTTGCTTCCTGTCTTTGGGGGGGTGTTCAAGAGCCTGTTACATTGTGAAGAATTTGCTGTGTTGCGTTCTCATCAGCTTGCTGATTTAAGCACTTGAAATGTCTTGCATATCTGCATATTGTAGAAGCAAAATAAAGAGACATTGTGGGTAAAAGTCTTTATTTATAAAACAAACCTAGCATAGCTGTACAGTTCTATAAAAATGGTCCAGTCTTGTCCAGTTTCTTATTGTTTAATTAGTTGTATGGTAACTTGGTCTTGCTGATGCTTTCTAACATTGTGAGGTAGGTCAATACCCCCACATTGTCATATTGCTACTGAAGGTGCCTTCAGGAAGGAGTTTTATGTTTCTGGACAGCCAATGGCTGCCTTATCTGACTTCTCCGTTTGACTTCCCCAGTTTCAGACTTGCCACACTCTCCCTTCTGCAGTTTAAGATCTTTTAAGCATAGTACTCTATGCAGAACTGATCTCATTAGGTCTTAAGTCTAGAAACATCTTCAGGTATGATTCATTTCCATTTTTTTCCTGTAGATGTAGATGTGGCTTCCAACTCGTCCTTCAGGTACATGGGTGTGAAAGACAGTAGCTGTTTTCTCATAGCCCCTTAAAACTAGAAATGATGATATTTCCTGTAAATGAACATACATTAGTTTCCACGGTCAGAAAGTGTAGTTGGCAACATCAGAACAGTGTTCCAAAGTCTTCTGAAAACCATCAATTCAACTGTCCCCTGGAAGTTTTATTCTTTGTTTTAGGAAAGACTGCTAGAAAAAGAGATATCTATCCTGTTTGATCCTGTCTGGAGTGGATTTCAGCAGACACCACTGTTTGAGTACCTGGACTTCATTAAAGAATTGAGGGGAAAAGGTATGCTGGCTACAGGTGGTTTTGCTTGTCATGGTTGCTTACTTAAAAGTGTATGGTTCTGGGAACAGACTGCACATTTGTTTTAATATGGCTTGAAGAGAACTCCATAAAACATTACTTTATGGCATGTAGAATTTGCACAGCGGAGAGGGCATACGTGCACGTATCACTGGAATGGTGTATATATACTGCAGTATGAACCAGAGCGTTCAACTTGAATTTTAAGCCATGCTTTAAAAACTTATAGTTAAGATATTGGAAAACTGTTGTCCACAACTCTCCCTTAATTTATTTTGTAACTTGACCTCAAAACTAATTTGTTTCACTTTGTGGTTACCATACCTGTTCTAGCACACTGAAGAAGATCAAGTGACTGGGTAGTAATGTATCATTTTGAAACTCCTTATTAAGCCAGCCAAGTGGATTAGAGTAAAATACATCTGCTTCATCAATATAGCTCTCATTTCCAGTTAGGTCTGGGGGACACTGAAGGAATCTCATTTTTAGAGGGCAGTGAACATGACTAGGGAGAAAAACAAAACAAACGCTTCAGGATAAACTGATCAATCATTAAGAAGTGAAATGACTCGACACTTAAAGATACCTCAAGTCAAAACCAAAATTGAATAATTAGGTTTTGTGCCCCAGTGTCATAGTTTCTTCCCTTCTGTGCTTCATATAAAAACAAAAGTAGAACAAGAGGATTCAGCTCCAAACTGCCGTGATTATGTTGTCAGTAATTCACAGAAAGCAGATTTAACATGCCTTTCTGTGTAACATCACTTTCTTAAAAAGATACTCTTCCAGATCAGCTTCACTGCTTATATCTGCTTTTATGTTCTGTTTACTTGCCAGGATCTACTGCAAACTTCTTGGAATAGTGATCTCAGTCATTGTATGTCATAACTACGTTTCTTTACTCTATAGCAGCAGAAGCATAGGTAAAATTAATGCAGTTTGACTGTAACAATTAATCTTGTTCTGCTACAAAAGTTACCATAATGAAGCAGTATGACTTTCATAAGTCGCAAGACTTGACTGCACATCCTCATACAAGTCTGTTTTCCAAAAACTAAATTAAAAACTTAGATGCTGAATTTTACTCTGTAGTACAAGCATTTGGCTTATTTCCCTTATTCATTCTGTATTAAACGTACAAAAAATAAAAACTCTTCATGTGTACGTTTATCCATCTCTGGTAAGCTTGGGGAAAAAATTCTTAATTTCTGCCTAAGTGTATGGATTTTAATATAGTATGGTGTTAATTAATACCTGTAAAATGGAGTAGAGTGGCACGGCATCATGATGAAGACAAAAGCCTGTGACTGGTAGGAGTTATTACAGAGTTGCTGTATGTGACTCATGACATCCAGAGAGCCTCGCTGGTGAATCAAGCCTGTGTACAGGGCTGGGAGTACATTTGATAAAAGCAGGAAACTTGCTGCAGCTTTCTTCCATGCTTTCAGGTGTTTCAAAGAATATCCTACAGGAACATGTGACTCTGTTTCAGAGATAAGCAAATACTAACAGTTCCCCACAATATTTTTGAAAGCACCATAACTTACTGGAAAGCCATTATTCAGTTGATAACAATACCTCGCTTTGAGGTATTTTAATACAGTGTTCTTCCAGTCTTTATTCTGAATGGACATTTGAAGGTGAGGCTTTGCCCTTATTAACTCTTGGATTTAGCAGAGTAAATGTTAAGCCCATACCTGTCTGTACAGAAGTATGATTTAAAAGGCAGTGCTTTGTCTCTTTAGAGCTTAATTTTAATGTCTTGGCGGGGAAAATAGTCAATTCGGTAGTTTGGATTAACAATGTGTGGTGACCTGCTGATGTGTTCCGATTCATGCATGTCCAAGTACAGCCAGAATAAATGGTAACTACGTGTGCTGTGGAATGGCTGTGGTATTCTTTTTCTCCAACATGCTGAAAGCTACAGCATTCCTTTATTATTTTTGAACTACTGTCCTTTTCCAGTCTTCTATCGCTGTCCCTTCCCCCTTGCTTTTCTTAAAGGAGCTAATAATAGGAAGAGACATTTCTCCTGGTGGGAGATAGCCATATAAACCCATTTCTCACAACTGCAACTTAATGAACCTGCTGCAGAAGACGGCTTCATGTTGCAACCAGTCTGGAAACCCTTAAATCATGTGCTTGTCAGTATTAGGAGATAGAAATATGTTGTGCAGCCTAGTTCTGTGACCACCTTTACTGAATCAACAGAAACAAGTTAAAATAGGTCTGTTTCAGAAGTCAGTAACAAGTAAGTTTAATTAGCCTTCAGTTGGTCTGTTCTGACAAATTGCAGATCTTTATCTCGGATGAAAACAAAGTCCACTAATTAGTCTGTGGTTTACAGACAAGTGGAAACACTCAATAATAGGCATTTTTTTACCACTTTTGTGAAATGCTTTTAGATTATCTTAAAGTGTGCTTGTAAATTACGTATCTTAAATGTCCCACTGAACTAAACCAACACATATTACATATTCGATCTCTGCAGAGTGCAAAATTATTGAATTAAGATTTACTTTTGGTTAGACTAGCAAAACAGGTTAAAGAACATTACAGTAACTGATTTTTAGGTTAACTATGTTAGTTTAGGGACCTTATTCCTATTTTAACAAATTCACCCTGCTATGCCTGAAGGAAAAAGCTATCACATGAAAGGCTCTAAAACTTCAGTGGAAAGTTGCCTCCAGCTGGTGGCTGGTCAAGAGCAGACACAAAAGGAGTGTCATCCACTAACATACTTGAATTGAGAAAGGAATGATTTTACATTTTGAATAATTAATTTTTTTTTTGTTGCACTCTCAGAGGAATTTGTCAGGCATATTTGAGAGAACCAGATGGAAAAATACTACAAAAGAGCCAAGGAACAAAATTCACAGTAAGGGTGACAATGCTATAAAGTTATGAGCCACTGAGGCAATTTTCCTGTTTTTTGCAGGAAGTACTTTTATCTGTGTTAAGGATTCTCCATCTCTGTTTTAGTCTTGGGGGGTTTTTTTGTGGTTTGTTTTTTTCCCTCCCTTCTTTCTTTATTCCTAGCTGTGAGAAAAGGTTAGGCTAGTTTTCAGAATCCTTTGTCACATACCTAAATTGACTATTATCAGTCTCTCTTTAGGTAAAAATTATATACAGGGAAGATTGCAAGGTGTTCAAAACCAATGCTTACCACAAAAAATCATGCAGAAGGGTAGTACTGGATAGATGAATCTGAACTCTTTATGGCTTAGCATGCTGTAATAAAACAAATAAAATACTACAGCAAGAAAGTTAAATGCATCAGTTCTCTTGACAAGATATGTTTTAGAGCATGGAGGACGGAAAGAAAAAGCACTTGCATCTACTAAAAAGCTTTTGGCATTGAAGCAGGTTAGAGGAAAAATCCAAATTGTCACTTTTTAAGAACATAAGTACATTCAAATTAATAATAATAAATAATATTATTAATAATATAAATAATAATAAATTAATAATCTTAATTTGAAGTAGATTCTATGATTCTACATTCAAATTAAGATTATTTGGTCAGTTTAAACCAAGGAGTAATAAAAGTACCTGGCTACTCTATCAGTTAAGTGGTCTGATTCTATGACTGCTAGACATAACTTAGCTAATACTTCACCAATTTGCCTTCTGTAATAAAACAATAAAAAGTGTGGATGAGAAGCTAAGATCAAGTACACATTTGTATCTAACAAAGTAACATTCACCTCTGCTAATGCAACTTTACACAAATTCCCATGCCAACTTTTGAGGCTTTTCTGGGATTGTTGCAAGACTTGTGTCGTGGGAACTAAACAGGTTCTTAAAAGACTAAGGGAGATAAAAAAGGCCTAAAACCAATAGAGGTACATCCAGTTCTGAGATGGACTGAAAGCAGAGATGTTATTTGTGTCCTCACTACTCTTTGGCTGTATTCTGTTACTAATGTAGTCCAATACAATTTATTACTTGGTATTTATTAATTTGCTGTATGTTTTCTTGTCTGAAAGTGTCTCTTGCTTAAACTACAGTTAATTCTGATGCTTTAGAAACAGCTTACCTTTTTTCCTACCTCTCAGCTTAAAATGAAGAATACAGTCTTATGATAATTGTTAAAAGGGATGTGTAGACTTGTGAATGGACTACATTTTAGAGGCCTACGAACCTCTCATCTTACTGGGGATTTATTAAAGAAGCAAATGAAATGGTATTTTCCTTAACAAGCATCTAGTGAACACAGTTTTCTAACTAGTTCTGTTGTTGCTTAGGGGATTGTTTTATTTTTTTTCATTTTTCATTGAATTTCATGCTGAATTATTCTTTAAGGG